CGCAAGCAAATATACAACCCCCGGCATGCGGCAAGGTAAACTATGATCGAGACACAAAACCAGCCTCAGAAAGTATGTTGTTGGCAGCCGTGGTGGGCGCCTGACAGGCAACACCGGCAGCACGACAAACATCTGGAGCAAAGTCATGCTGGAATGCTATCTGAAAACCCTGCCTCAGCCCGCTCGTACAGAAAATACCGCGAATGGGTCTGAAGGTGCGGCGGCTCACGTGGTAGCCGTTTAGGACGGTCACCATCATTGTATTGCACCCAGCCAGCCCCATTGGATTGCCGCAGGAAAGCCACATAATGACCAGAATCGAAGGACTGTCCACGGTGGAGTACCGCTGCACGCAGAAAATAGACATAGTTCCCGCGCTCGAACTCAGGAGGCGCAAAGACAGCTGTGCGGTTCAGCTGACCGAGGCCAGTTTCGCGCACAACTTGGAGCAAAGCTACAGGGTCTAGGTGCCATGACTCAGCAGATGTCAAAGAAGTGCGCTGCGAGCAGTGTGGGCAAGGAAGACCGCCGTCTGGCACAATGGCAGGATCTTTGTCCAGCAAGTCATTGAGGGCAATGGCAGCGCAGTCATCAAACGGTGGCAGTGTCAAAGCAGCGAAGACATGCCGCACCGGTGCTGCCGTCACAACGGGCATCTCGAAGGGGCAAGAGCATTGCGGATGATGCTTCAAGTCGTGAAAATGATCTGCACACATACTTTGAAAAGCTATGGTGTCTTGAGGGCCCAGCTGCAACAAAATCTCTAAGGGATCATGCTGTTCTTCAAAAGTCACACCAATCGACTCCAAGGGGTTGGCCCAAAGAGGTTGAAGGTCTACTTCTGACCCCGGCTCACTGCTTGCGCGTTCAGTATCTCGCAACGCACACGCCCAGCAGGTGCTGGCGCAGGCCCGAGTGCGCTGGTGTTCTGAAGTCGCCTTGATCATTGGCAAGCAAGAAAAGACAGATTGAAGAAGACTGGCCAGCCAGCGTGAAGTCCCAGTCAGGTTTGGGAAGACGCCGCGCAGGCCTCGAGATCACAAGCATCTGTCACACGTGAAGCATATGGCAGTCTCAATGTGAAACAGCAAATATCCGAGCCTGGAGTGTTGCCATGGGCAGCGTGCATCCGCCGGTTCCGAACTTTGTGGGACACAACCCATGTTGTGTGAACGCGAACAAGCATGCTTCCGAAAGGGCATGTCACATCCGCCGGCTGCAAGATGCTGGTAGTCACCTGGGAAAAAAGGACGCGAAAGATACCAAGCTGGACACTGGCATGGGATGATGGAAGGAAACGCACACTGAAAATTCAGGCCTCGAAGTGGAGATCCGAGGCAGACGAATGCACAGCAGCTATGCGCTGTAGCCTGTGCATAGAGCGATGAATGCTTTGGCAGGTAGAGGTTTGTCAGAAAGTGCTAGCTATGGCAAGACAAGCCAGCGCACGCTTTCTGCAGTAGGCTTCGGCGCCACTGGCGCGTGGGTCCGCCCCAGCTGTAGCTATCACCTGCTTTTTTGGATGGAAGGCGGGCGCTGGCAATAATGTATTACCGCACTTACACCTGCCGACGAAAGCAACATAGGACCCGCACACCAAGACATCTCGAGGAACAAGCCGCTGGAAGCCGCCTACAGGTCGCATCATCTGCATGCAAGCACTGACATCCACAAACCGGCAGCACTGAAACAGATGTGTCGGGGCCTTCTGCGCATCTCGCCAAGCATGATCCAAGAACGCATCATCCTGGACAACAATCATCTACAATAGACCTATAAGACACTAGCGCGCGGGAAAACGCAATCGGACCTCACCGGCTGCAACGGCTCGGTCAACAGGCCTTGGGACGAATTGGGTCTATGCGCGGCGACGGCACATAACTTCCAGGGAAAAGCAACGAGACGCCTGCGCGAAGGACGAGACGACGGAGACGGAAGCTTGGCCTGAGCGGCAGCAGGGGACAAGTACCGAAGCACAAGGCCGCTTCATGGTGATGCTGTTCCCACCCATGTATAAGGGCTCGACTACAGGCCGCTGCAACTCAAACTTCCCCGGATGGGGCTCCTATTGCCAGGAGGCATTGCCACGTATGCGTCGAGCAATGCAAGCATGAGACTGAGATCTTGCCTTGGCGTCTTCCTCGTACGGCACACGAATCCATCCCACCTGGGATAAAAACAGGTGTTGCAAAAAAAAACATCTACAGAGACATAGGCCAATGCGAAGCGGTGCACATGGGGCCCAGACAGGAGTTTTCAATGTCAAACGACATCCCCAAAACTTGTGCAGGAACGCAGTCACGTTGAAATCCTGACACAGATGCGACGGATGAGTTTGTGACCGTACGAAGAAAAGAAAATCATGGCCCTACCCGCATACAAAGGCGCAGCACGACTAGCCTCGGAGGCATCCGCCCAGCGCCCGGTCATGCCTTCACAAGTATAGCACATCAGGCCCGGAATGGACGCAACCAGTCGCTTCAAGGCTGAGGCTGCGGCTAGAAGACGTGGAGCCATTGGCAAAGAGAACGAGCCAAAACTTGCAGTTCAGCTCGGTTCAAAGAAGAAAAGGTGCAGGCCACCAAGCAAGACCAAGCAAAGACCTCAAAAGCAAACCATCAAGACACTGCAGTTTGCAGCTGGCCTGAGTAAAAGGTGCAAGGCATCAAGCCTCAGCAGAGAAACATGCAGCCAAAGTGACAGGAGAAGCACTGAGGCTGCGGCCCTTTGCCGGGAGGAGCACATGCTCCCCCCTCCTCCTGCGCCGCGACAAGACAGCTCAACGGTTGAAGGGGCTTATTGATATCCCAGGAGGGGGCCCTTCCCTTCAACCTGCCATCTGCCGCGGGGGCTCCTGCGGTTGCCCTACCGATTTGTGTCACGGCTTCGCTGCCGCCGCATTCCAGCACGCTTTTATGTTTTGGTCGCTGCGCTGCGCTGGGGAAGCCCCGGCGCAAGGCAGACGCGACGCTAGATCCGACGTCCGACGTTGCCCGGTCTATAGAAGAAGGCCTACATCAACCATTCTTTGTGGGACGCTGGCAAACAGCGACATTGCGCGCGGCGTCTGCCAGCGCGTGGACGCGCCATGCTGCCCGCAAGCCCGTCAACCGCCCAAGCGATTGACGTTACGCGAGGCACTTACTGGACAACTGCAAGGTGTTCATGCCGCAAAAGAAAATCGACTTGTGAGATAGACTGCTTGCGGTTTCGGGACGGGGGCGCTGCACCCTGCCCCCCAAGCCCTCCACGCTGCCGAGGATGCAGTGACGGCGCTTGTCATTTTGGTTGAAACTGAAAGACGTGCGCGCTGCAGGATCATGTTGTGATGCTGCTTGCTGCTGAGCCCCCCCCGCCCGCGCGTGGACCGCGGCTTCCAGGAAGCCATGCCGCAAGCAAGTCATGCGCATGCATGGGCGCTTGTCATTGGTCAATGGCAGGCAAGCAGACGCGCTGGAAAACCGCAAGACGTGAATACTGAAGGCTTATGATGAGCTGCTGCTTGCTGCTGGAGCCTCCCTGCGCCCTCCCCTTCGAGCCCCCCCTCCCGCTCTTTTTTTCTATACCGTTATGCGGACCGCTGCCGAGGATGCTGTGGCGGTTGTCATTTGGGTTGTAGCAGGCAGGCTCGCTAGACGTGAATACTGAAGGCTTATGATGGGCTGCTGCTTGCTGCTGAAGCTTCCCTACCGGCAGGCTATAGGACAGAAGATCGACTTGTTAGATGTGGTGAGACTGCTTGCGGATGCTGTGGCGGTTGTCACATTTTGGCTGTAGCAGGCAGGCTCGCGAGACGTGAATACTGAAGGCTTATGATGGGCTGCTGCTTGCTGCTGTAGCCTCCCTACCGGCAGGCTATGAGACAGAAGATCGACTTGTTAGATGTGGTGA